ATTAGTTATACAAGTGTATTGTTGTGCATTTGAAATTTAAATACGCTTTGTCATATAATATTACTCCAAATATGGTAATATAAATCAAGAACAACTATACAATTTCCCAACATATATTTTTTTCAATTATTAGTTAGATATTCCTCGTCAAAAAAGATACCTATATTAATTATATTGTAAACAAATCAGGTTAGATACATCAAGTTTGTACTACTATTTATTGCAGTATTTATTTTCCAAATAAAGAATTATAATTGAAACTCAAAAGGAATGTGTAAGCTACAAAAATAAAAATTTAATTGATTCTTTGTCAAAAAAAGAGACATAACATAATTGAATTATACACAAAAGTTTAACTAAAGATACCTACAATAATTATATTGTACACAAATACGGTCAGATACAAAACTTGTACTAAATAAATAATTATTGTTGCAAATAAAAAAGAATGTATAAAATACAAAACGTATATTTCAATTGATTCCTGGTAAAAAGGAGACCTACGATAATTGAATTATACACAAAATACTAACTAAATTATACTATTTTATGTTATTTATTTTTCAAATAAAAGGAGTATTTAATAAATCAGAGTAGTAGACATAATTTATTATTCTTAAAATTATAATTTGGTTATAATTCCATATTGAAAAATAGCTGAGCTATGCAACAAAACAACTTCAGCAGTCTTGTTGCGTAGCTTTATTGAAACTTAAAATATCCACACTGCAAATTTAAACAAATCAGTTTATTTTTATTCACATACTTTTAGATGCATATTCATATCAATTTTGATTAGTCAACCGGCGGTTAGCTCTCTCTCTAACTAGAAATTTGATAAGAGAAGTGCGAAAGGATTGCAGGCTAGATTCAAGGTATGTCAGTTGTCCACGAAACTTTCAAGATTGGTTGAGTCTTAAGTGTACTTTAGTAAGAGTATGAAGGATCTAGTGGCCGTAATTATATGTCCACTCAAGGCGTTGCAAGCAAATGGCGAAAAACATATTTCCTATCATAATTAAGAAAATAATTCTCATTCAACTACTACTTCCATTAATTATGTTTCTATTTATAGTTTCTAATTATTAATATTGTCTTAAAATTGCCAAGTGGCTTCATTTTAGTTTGTCACTTGGCTTAAGCACAATGCATACTACTCTCCTTTTAATATAATATAGATAAATAGAAAAAAAATCCCCTAATAAATGGTCAATGTGGCTGGGCATAAGAAAGAATTCATATTTTTAGTTTTGGGATCATAAATTATTTTGTTTTTTTACTACTTTGGTTTGGACTCTTAGGTAATATATATAACTCAGGAAACTTTTGTCCAAAATTTAAAGGGAAGTTCCAGATTAGGAAAGCTCAAGGAAAAACGAGTACTTAATTTGGAAGATATTTATTTATTTAGTCAAGTAAGTTACACACACACAAAAAAAAAAAAAAAAAAAAAAAAAATGCCAGTCCTTCAAATAAATTTGTTGGATGGTAGATAAAAAATAAAAAATTCTCACTGTCTTCCTTCTCCCTTCATCTTCCAAAATCCCCTAAATCCAAACTCCAAATGTGACGGAAAAAAATATTAAAAAATAATTTTAAAAAAATTGCAGTTGCATAGTAGGTAAAATGTGTAATAAATTTAAGCTTGTAGATAATAAAATTGACTATTTCATATAGATTGAAAATCACCTATATAGAAAAAGAAATGCTCCAAAATAACCTTCCGTTGAGTATTTAACTCTACCTCTACTTTACCCTCTTCTAGAATCAATCACTATCAAGTATCAACTCACAAGAAGGATACTAGTTATCCAAAATAATCAATTTTCACTAGTAGATTAAGACTTGTAACTACTAGCTTATGAAGTTACTTCAACAAAATTACAAGAAAATTTTACACTAAGCTGGTCCTAATTCATTACTAATTAAGCTGACTATATCAAAGCAGCACAGAAAATAAATAAATTAAAGACACATTTCATATGTCATAAATCATAATCTATCAATCATATTTCTTTATAACATAGTTAAATGCTCGATTACTCATTAATCACATATTCTAAGTGTCTTTTGAAGTTGTATGCACTAAAGATGTAAAAGATATTGATAAGCATTAATCGGTAATTTAATAAAGACAAATTCAGGATTTGTAGGTGGCGGGAGCACATGACCAAGACTGTTCAACCAATGTCCCATTAGGCTTTTGATCTTAAGGGCTCAAAGCAAATTATATTACACTATCCAGAATTTTTGACGATATTAATGAGGTCCAGTGGCCCCTTTACTCGATACATAGGTCCGCCTCTGTTGATAGTGTAAAAATCTTTATGTGTAATTGTATATAATTTAAATCCATAATTTTTTTTTTGGTATTTAAGATTATATTACCAAGGATAAAATTCACATACAAAGCAAAACTCCTAAAGCTTGATAACAGACTCAAGCTTTCGGTACACTAAGCTTCTGCTATACGCGTGATCCGGAGAAGGGCCGGATCATAAGGGTGTATTGTACGCTGTCTTACTCTATATTTCTGCAAGAAGATGTTTCTATGGCTCAAACCCATAACCTCCTGCTCACATGACAACAAATTTACCAGTTATGCCAAGGCTCCTTGAAGAATCCAGCTTTAGTAAAAGAAAAAACAATTTAAATCCATATTAAAAGATCACAGAGAGTAGATAGTAAGAAGCATTACTTCATTTGGAGATCATGGCTCAGTCATATGAAATTCTTTTCCTGCTTCCACTTTTCCTCTTACCTTCAATCTTTTTTCTCCTCAAACTTTGCAAATCATCAAAGATGCCACAACTTCCACCAGGACCAAAACCATGGCCAATCCTAGGAAACATTATTCATATGGGGAAAATGCCTCACATAACTCTAGCAAAATTTGCAAAAACTTATGGTCCCCTTATGTCTCTCAAACTTGGAACACAATGTTTGGTTGTTGGATCATCACCTTCTGTTGCTATAGAAATCCTTAAAACACATGATAGAATCCTATCTGGTAGACATGTTCCAAATGCTTTTCCATTCAAAAAATCAGAACTTGACAAGTCATCAATAGGTTGGACTTCTGAATGTAACAATGGATGGAGATACTTAAGAACTTTATGTAGAACTGAGCTTTTCTCAGGCAAAGTATTGGAGTCTCAAGCTTGTTCGAGGGAGAAAAAGGCGATAGAATTGGTGGAATTCTTGAGATCAAAAGAAGGTCAAGTGATCAATCTTGGAGAGTTAATTTTTGCAACTGTGTTGAACATGTTGAGTAATGTAATGATATCTCAAGATATTGTTAAGTTGGAGAAAGAAACAGAAGATGGTGGGATGAAAAGTCTAATAAGGGAAGCAATGGAAGTAGGCTCTACTCCAAATATATCTGATTTTTATCCAATTTTGAGTAAACTTGATCTTCAAGGTTTGCACAGAAAATCTAAAGATTTAATGTCAAAGATTCGTTCTAAGATGTGGGAACGGATTGTTGAAGAAAGAAGGAAAAGTAAAGAGAGTGGCTTTTCTAGCCAACAAGATTTCTTGGAAACTCTTCTTGACAATGGTTTTACCAATGATGCTATACATCAACTATTTATGGTATGTTTTCTCACTTTCTATCGAAGGAGAGCTTTGGCGTAACTGTTAAAGTTGCTGCCATGTGACCAAGAGGTCACGGGTTCAACCTGACCCGTGGAAACAACCTCTTGCAGAAATGTAGGGTAAGACTGCGTACAACAGACCCTTGTGTTCTGGCCCTTCCCTGGACCAGTGCATAGCGGGAGCTTAGCGCACGGGGCTGCCTTTTCTCACTTTCTCTCAAAAGTTACTTCGTGAGATTCATTTTCTGGTCTAAACCAAGTTAGTAGCTTTTAGTAGTATATGAAAATCATAGTGATCATGTTAGTCTTTAGCACTTTCTCTTTTTGAAGTTCTTATATTCAATAAATTTGGAGTTCTCTATTGGGAAGTAGTATATAACAAGTTTCTTTTTAACCCTGTGAAGGAGTTATTCACTGCTGGTACAGACACCACTACCTCAACTATCGAGTGGGCGATGGCAGAACTGATTAAAAATGAAGAGTCAATGGAGAAACTTCAAGATGAGCTCGAGAGAGAACTCAGCGAAAGTGATTTCCCAAAAGAATCTAAACTGCTGCAGATGTCCTATATTCAAGCGTGTGTAAGGGAAACACTTAGGTTGCATCCTCCAGGTCCGTTTCTACTTCCGCATCGTGCTATCGAGACATGCCAAGTGATGAGTTACACAATTCCAAAAGATGCTCAAGTCTTGGTTAACATATGGGCTATCGGGAGAGATCCTTCGATATGGAAAGAGCCAGAGATGTTTAGACCACAGAGGTTTCTGAGTTCCATTATGGACTTCAAAGGGAATGACTTTGAATTCTTACCATTTGGTTCAGGAAGGAGAATATGCCCAGGCCTACCTATGGCTGCAAAAAGCGTTCCTTTAGTCCTTGCTTCACTTGTTCATTTCTTTGATTGGGAACTTCCGAATGGAAAATGTTCCATCGAGCTAGACATGAACGAAAAGTTTGGAGTAACACTGCAAAAGAAAGAACCACTGCTTCTGATTCCCAAAGCTAGAAAATGATCATTGGGATAGTATCAATATTTTTTATGTGCGCTATCTCCTGCATTGTGCATAAGCTCCCGCGGTGATACAGAGGCAAGTTAGTCTACATTAAGAATAAGATCATGTGTCCAAGTGCATATATATTTCAAGTGGAAGTATTTTACAATGGAAAGTATCTTCAAGATTTTATATGCAGATATTTGCTTTGATGCTAAGCGATTTGTTGTGACAATGGCCTATTCAAAAGATACAGAGGATTCAAACATACTAAAACATAAATAAAGGCGAACGAATTCATAGTTAGACTGAAGAAATTACTAAAGCAATCACTTCATTGAAAATAATATCTGATATCTTCTTGCTACAATGAGATGAATAACAATAATGAATGATTACAACAAAGAATACATTGATGAACTTGACTGAATATAACTAAGAAAGAATACCCCTCCCTAGCTTACAAGAAGAATAAAGAATAAATACCAATATGAAATGAAAGGTACAAACAAAATGAAGCCTAGAATTTTTCCTGAGGAACTAGATTACCTGTACCTGACCACCTATGCAATTTGATCTAAAAGAATTTCTTTTCTTACTCATTTTGACAAATCTATCTGCAGTAAAGAATGAAAGAATGACTCTACCTACAAAGAATTTGGTAACCTTTTTCCTGTGTACGAAAAGAACAAAGATTGTCTGTTTAATGAACGAAGAGCTTCGACAAAAGACCAATCAATCAACTTCGCTGATAATAAGAGGATGAACTTCCAGCTGCATCAAGGGGCGACCACGCGGAGACTGTGCATAGAGGCTGGTCTAACCAACTCAATGTTAGTGCAGCGTCGTCGTTCCCCTGCTTTATGACCCTGAAGTCCTCACACGAGTACATCTTCAACAGCATTTGACTCTGAAGCAGTTCCCTTTCTGTAATCCCTGCGCATCTGAAACCCCCTTGTTCCATCAGCTTCCGCCATTTCCCAAAACATTCATGCCTTTCAGTCCTATCTCGTCCTTCACAAGCAATGATATTTCTAATATCGCGAGCAAACAACTCCTCTATCTTAATCCTGGAAGGGCTGTCTGGTGGAAGGCTGAAACCAATAGAATCAAAAACAGCAGCATAGTATCTGAGTGAGTTGACAAGTCTTGCTTCCAAGCTAGGCTCATTGTGCTCAGCTTCTTGCTCAGCCATCAGAATAATGGTGGGATTTGTGCTTCTAATCAACCCGAGAAAATCCCTCAGGATCCCACCAGAACTATCATATAGAAGCCTATGCATCTGTAATGCACAATTCACTGCAACACTTTCTCCTTCTTTCACATGTAACATCCATAGCCTCACATCTTCTAACCTGTCAACAACTGGATGGAACTCGAAAGCCAGATTCAACGCCTCAGCAAACTCGGCAAGTCTATCTCCTGTTTCAACAAGATCCTGCTTTGATTCTCCTATACCAGTAATTCTAACATGAGTGGGAGGGTTTGGCCTAGAAGCCAAACTCTGAAACAGACTAGGCCACTGCAGCCCTTGCTTAATGTCAAAATCAATAATGTGAACCCGGTCCTTCCCTTCAAAAGCTCTAAGCAGAATCTCATTTGATGTGAAATGGATGAACTTTGGAATTGGACTAACCTGATTCAACAGCCTCAATGCTGTACTGCTATCATCATCTAAACGATCAAGGTCCCGAGGGGGTATAATGTGAAAGATGTGAGGCCAAATCCTTGCAACACGCAAAGCTAAAGCCTCGGTGAAGTAAGCAGTTAGCCGGCATATTGGAGACCCTCTTGGAGAGGCAAGCTCCCCTAGCCTAGCTATCAGTTGATTAACACCAGTGACATTCCTCGAGCCAATTGCTTCAGCA